CATTGCATCCATTTGGGGAATGAACCAGCAGATAAAAGATTCTCTCTCTCTCTCTCTCTCTCTCTCTCTCTCTCTCCCCATAACTCTGCCTTTCAAATTAATAAAATAAATCTTAAAGAAAAATATGGGGGCCGGCGCTGTGGCATAGCAGGTTAAGTTGCCACCTTTCAGGGCTGGCATTCCATATGGATGCCGGTTCAAGTCCCAGCTGCTCCACTGCAATCCAGCTCTCTGCTATGGCCTGGGAAAGCAGTAGACAGTGACCCAAGTCCTTGGATCCCTGCACCCACATGGGAGACATGGAGGAGCTCCTGGCTCCTGCTTGCAAATTTGTGCAGCTCCGGCCATTGCGGCCATCTGGAGAATGAACCAGGGGATGGAAGACCTCTCTCTCTCTGCCTCTGCCTCTCTGTAACTCTTTCAAATAAATAATGACATCTTTTTTAAAAAGAAAAATATGAGGTGTTTTTTTTTAAAGATGCCTGCATCCCATATCGAAGTGTCTAGGTTTGGGTCCTGGTTCCTCTTCCCATCTGGCTTCTTACTAATACACACCTTGGGAAGCAGCAGGTGATGGCTCGTACTTGGGTTCCTGCCACCCATGTGGGAGAGAAGAGTGGAGTTTGTGGCTCCTGGCTTCAGACTGCTCCAGCCCTGGCTGTTACAGGCATGTGGGGAATGAACCAGCAGGTGGAAGATTGCTGCTTGCTCTGTCTGTCTTTGAAGGAAATAAAACATAACGTTTCAAAAATGTACTTGAAACATCTTCTAACGTCCAAGGGCAGGGAAACTGTACTGCAATCGACTCCGTTTCGACTGCTCCGAATCAGCGGGCAGCCGTCCTGTGCTGTTGTGCGGAGAATCCCGCAGCTCAGCAGCTTGGCCTGTTTGGTACCGGTCAGTCTGCAGGGCGGGTGCCCAGGTCCACCTGTGTGCTCTGCTCAGAGAGTCTCAAGGCCAAAATCAGCTGGGCCCTCCCCTGGGGCCTGTGCCAAAGAATCTGCTCCCAAGTGCATTCAGGTTGGCGGCAGAATCCAGTCCCTCGCTGGCTGTGGGCGGGGCCTGGGCTGCTTCTCCACCCACTCTTCTTCTTCTTCTTACCTGGGTCCTCTCTACCTTCAAAGCCAGAGGGAGAGCAGCAAACCCTCACCCTTCCAAGGAAGGCCTCGCCTGACTGGCTCAGACACTCTGTATCTTTCTTCTTTCCTTTTCTTCTCTTTTTGAATTGCTTGGAAATGGAGGGAGAGAGAGAGCAACACAGGGAGAGACAGAAATGTTTTCATCTGCTGGTTCCTTCCTCAAATAGCCGCAACAGCCAGGATTGGGGCTGGCTGAAGCCAGGAGCCTGCGACTCCACCCAGTTCTCCCACATGGGTGACAGGTACCAAATACTTGAGCCTCCGCCTGCTGGCTCTCAGAGTGCCCGTTAGCCGGAACCTGGAGTTGGGGCAGAGCTGAGATTCAAACCAGGCACGCTGATATGGGATGGCCGGGTCTCAAGCAGTGACCTGACCATTATGCCAAACTCCCTTCCCGGTCTCCATCTTCTAAGGTCCATTTATTCCAGGCTTTAATTACATCTGCAAAATCCTTTCACACCAGAACCTGCGTTAGTGTTTGAAGGACCAGGAAAGGAGATTCTGGGAGGGGGGTGGGAGCGGAGTATTTTCAGATTTCTGCCAATTACACAGCAATGCTTTTTTTAAGAATTTACTTTATTTATTTGAAAGGCAGAGAGAGAGAGAGAGATCTTTTACCCTCTGGTTCATTCCCTAAATGACCACAACAGCCAGATCTGAGCCCTGCCAAAGTCAGGAGCCAAGAACTCCATCCTGGTCTCTAACATGGTTGGCAGCGACTCAAGCACATGGGCCGTCCTCCGCTGCCTTCCCAAGTGCATTAGCAGGAAGCTGGATCAGAAGCAGAGCAGCCTGGACTCCAAAAGGCAATGTGAGACAGGATGCAGTGGCTTCATCTGCTGTGCCATGATGCATCCTTCCCCAAGCAATTCTCTCTCTCTCTCTCTCTCTCTCTTTTTTAACATTTATTTATTTATTTGAAAGTCAGAGTTACACATAGAGAGAGAAGGAGAGAGAGAGAGAGAGAGGTCTTCCATCTGCTGGTTCACTCCCCAATTGACTGCAATGGCCGGAGCTGCGCTGATCCAAAGCCAGGAGCCAGGAGCCTCCTCTGGGTCTCCCACCCAGGTGCAGGGGCCCAAGGACTTGGGCCATCTTCCACTGCTTTCCCAGGCCATAGCAGAGAGCTGGATCAGAAGTGGAGCAGCCGGGACTCGAACTGACGCCCATATGGGATGCCGGCACTGCAGGCAGTATCCTCACCCACTATGCCACAGTGCCAGCCCCCCAAGTAATTCTTAAACTGTGTCCCACAAAGAGAAGGTGTTAATAGACATTGTATGAGGAAGGCAGCTCATGGTTGAGTAATGTGAATAGAAAGTTTTGCTGGCTAGCATTTCGGTTCAGCATATATCCAAGTCGTTCTTATGCCAGTGTGTCCAGTGACTCTATGAGACATACAACATTTCCCAAATTTATTAAGCAACGGTAATCTTTACTACTAAAATACCTATTATTTTGTATAAAATATTTGGAAGACAATTATCCACTTTTATTTATTTATTTATTTATTTTGGCAGGCAGAGTGGACAGTGAGAGAGAGAGACAGAGAGGAAGGTCTTCTTTTTTCCGTTGTTCCACCCCCCAATGGCCGCTGCGGCCGGCGCACCGCGCTGATCCGAAGCCAGGAGCCAGGTACTTCTCCTGGTCTCCCATGGGGTGCAGGGCCCAAGCACGGCGCCAGCCAATTATCCACTTTTTAAAAGAAATGTGTGCTACTTTGTATTAGCAGAGAGCCCAGAGTATGTTCAGGGAAGTTCCTGTATTTTTATACGTCTGCTTTTAGAGAATGGTGACCTCATAGCTGCAGGTGCCCTCCTGAGGATGCTCCGGGGTGACCAGTTACCAGGACAGTAAATCGTCTGTAGCCAGCTGAGGGCCCTCGGCTCTGCATCTGCCGGGGGCAGAGGTCCACAGTACAATAATCCTCCCTTATCCACAGGCTCAGACCCCGTGGATGCCTGAACTCTCTACCTAGTTTTTTCCTGTTCATACCTACCCACAATACAGTTTCATTTGTAAATTAGGCACAGTAATAGAACAAAAAAAACCCAACAGAGCAATTATAATAATATAGTGGAATAATGCTGGCACCGCGGCTCACTAGGCTAATCCTCCGCCTGCGGCGCCGGCCCCACCAGGTTCTAGTCCCGGTTGGGGCGCTGGATTCTGTCCCGGTTTCTCCTCTTCCAGGCCAGCTCTCTGCTGTGGCCCGGGAGTGCAGTGGAGGATGGCCCAAGTGCTTGGGCCCTGCACCCGCATGGGAGACCAGGAGAAGCACCTGGCTCCTGGCTTAGGATCAGCGCGGTGCGCCAGCTGCAGCGCGCTGGCCGCGGCAGCCATTGGAGGGTGAACCAATGGCAAAAGGAAGACCTTTCTCTCTGTCTCTCTCTCTCACTGTCCACTCTGCCTATCAAAAAAATATATAGTGGAATAAGAATTATGAGAACATGACAGCTCTCCTCTCTCTCTGAAAGTATCTTCTGGTAGTCTACTTACCTTTCTTGAGATGGTGTGAGAGGACCACAATGCTAATGAAGAGATGGAGAGAGGTGAATGGCACGGGCCTTGTAATGTAGCATTAGGCTGACACAGCGTGACACTCTGATAAGCAAGCCAGCACTAACTCACTAATGGGTGAGTAGCATACACAGCCTGGATACGCCAGGTGAAGGCACGATTCGCACTCCAGGCAGGATGAGATTTTATTATGCAGCTCAGAAAGGCATGCATTTTAAAACACATGAATTGGTCATTTCTGAGATTTTTCCATTTAGCACTTTCAGGCTGTGGCTGACTGGCTGTAGCAGGAGTGATGGATAGAGAGACACCACCGTGTTGTTACCCTAGTAACCCCAGAAGGCTGTGGTCTCCGTAGCCAGGTGGAGCTCACTGTCCCCAGAGGCATTGCCCCCGCCCCAGAAGGCAGTGTGCTTTGGGTTAAATCTGAAAGGCCAGGGTGAAGTCCATGGCTAAGAGAGCAGGGGGAGAGACTGAGGTTGGCAGCCAGGCAAACTGGGCACCTGAGCATCAGCATCGCCCTTCGGAGCTGAGATCTCTGACCCGCCCTCAGGCACAGAGGAGCCGCTCCTTGAAAGTCATATTCCTAGCCAGCAGCCACTCCCCCTGTGTCCTTTCTCCTCCCTCAGGCAGACCCAGCACCCCTTTCGGCACCTGTCCCAGGGACGTGGCACAGCCGGCTTGCGACCCCTGAATGTTTCAACCCTGTGCCTTTAGGAGACGGGTGCAAGTTCTGCATCATTTCCCCGGACATCAAACCCAGAACCATTTTTGCCATCAGTCCAAAATACTGCTCTAGCTGTAGTCAAGTGATTAAACATTTTAATAGTGCAGCAAACTTATCAACAGACCGCCGGGGCTGGGGGCAGGATTATATTCTTCCCAGTTGTGTTTCAGAGTTTTTTTACTCTAGGATCAAATGTCTATCAAAGATTTCTGAAGCTCAGATTTGACTGTGGTCAACCTAAGAAGGTTTCTACAGCATCCACGGCATCATGTCCCATAAACCACCTGGGGTTTTTGCCTGCACATGGCTAACTACGTCGCTCAGTATCAGCATGGTGCCTGAAAGGTTTTTAATATAGATATTAACTATATCCATATCATCGCTTCAGTGAGAGCGTGAGCTGTGCTTTCTCCTCTGGGGTCTTCCAAGCTATTTACTGCTGACACACGCCATTAAAAAGAAGCCGACCCCAATGAGCCCATCATCTCACATTGTATTAGGGCTAATGTTATCATTTAAGTCCCTGCGAAGATTTGCCAGCTACAGAGGCCCCGATAACGATGGAAATACAATCGTGTGAGATAATCCGCCACGCGAAAATGACTCTCCTCATCTGTAATACGTCGTTTGGATGTTTATTTAAGACTTATACTATTGAACAAATATTGATGTCTTCAACTGAATGAGAGACATCAATGCCATGGGTAGATGAAGCGTCGGGTTCACGTCTGGGGCTCAGGACTGCACTGGATAGGAAACGTTCTCGCTGGAATCTGTGAAGGGAGGGAGGAAATGAGGGTGAAGAGGAAGGAAGAAGGAGAGCCACTGCATCTCCACCACCTGCCACAGGCACTTGCCAGGCAAGCACGCGTGTCCAGAGCACACAATCACTTCATAAGGAGGTCACATTTTTCTCCCCATTTTACAGAGGAGGAAACTGAGTCCATAAATTTTTTTTTAAAGATCACTCCTAAGGTAAGCCAAAACCAAGATTTAAATGTGGCTCTGACTCCAAAGACTGCATACGCTGTACAACTACAGCCCCCTGCCACCATTTGTAGAGGGACCAGGGTTCCGGCAGCTTTCTCCACTCCCCTCACAAGGCAGAGAAGTTAAGGGCACAATGGAATTGACCATCCATTGATTCAGAGGATTCGTCTGTGCATCCACAAAGCAATAAGCATTGTAGTGCGTCTACAAGGCACTAGGCACCAGTGCCAGGCAGAGAACACACAGAATTGGAAAAGCAAGGGCCCCAACCCCAGCAGTCACGTCAGGGGTCCATATGCAGTCACCCTCGTTTGGTCGGAGTTGGATGTCCGCACTGAATTCCTGCACAGCATAAGGGCAGTGCCTAGGTCCTGCCTGCAGGGTTCTGGGGCCCTTTGAATAAACCAGACAGGAGCAAGGACCTCTTCAACCCGCAGTGGACACAGGTTTTACAAATGAAACCCTCCCCAGTCTCAGCAAAAGACGCAAGCACCGTTACTCCACTTACACAACTAGCTTCTGATTCATGGTGCACTGGACCCACTGTCTACTCAGAACAGCCCAAGAAAACAGACATTGTTAGCCCATTACCCAGATGGGGCTTAGAGAACAGCAGCGATGTGTCCAAGGGCAGAGAGAGGGAACGATGCAGTGGGAGTGAGGACAAGGGGCTGTGCAGTGGGGACGCTGGGCTGTGCAGTGGAGTGGGGACACTGGGCTGTGCAGTGGGAACACTGGGTTGTACAGTAGAGTGGAACACTGGGTTGTACAGTAGAGTGGGGACACTGGGCTGTGCAGTGGAAACACTGGGTTGTGCAGTGGAGTGGGGACACTGGGTTTGCAGTGGTGACACTGGGCTGTGCAGTGGGGACACTGCACTGTGCAGTGGAGGGGACACCGGGCTGTGCAGTGGAGTGGGGACACTGGGCTGTGCAGTGGAGTGGGGACACTGGGCTGTGCAGTGGGGACACTGGACTGTGCAGTGGAGTGAGGACACTGGGCTGTGCAGTGGAGTGGGGACACTGGGCTGTGCAGTGGTGACACTGGGCTGTGCAGTAGAAGGGGACACTGCGCTGTGCAGTGGGGACACTGAGTTGTGCAGTGGAGTAAGGACACTGGGCTGTGCAGTGGAGTGGGGACACTGGGCCCTACCCTCTCTTCTCTTCACTCTTACATCTCTTAGCAATATGTGAGCAAGATGTTGTGTGCAAGCCAACAGCTTGCCAGGCCCCTTCAGGACATGCTTTCAGGCACGTGTTTCTGCACCCATTTCAGGGCCAGGAACCCAAAACACAGAGTGACTTCTCTCTTGCTCAGGCGCCCACCAATGAGGAAGAGGCTGAAACAGGACTTAAACCTAAGCCATCTGTTTTTTTTTTTTTTTGGATCTACAATATGAGTGAGATCACGCAGCATTTGTCTTTCTGTGCCCTTCCCCTAACATGAAGTCCTCCAAGATCAAACTTGTTGCCGCCAATGACGGAATCTCGCCCATCTCTGTAGCTGAACGGTGCGTCGTGGTGTACGCGTGTCATTTGCCTTATCTGCTCATCTCGCGTGATTGCTGCAGGGTGCACACACGTACTGAAACATCACACCGCCCAGTTACTACCTGTCACTGAAAAAAGAAATAGAATCCTTTAAAAAATCAGACCCTAAGCAGAAACATAACATTTTTAAGAACCTGAGTGTCGTGACTCCCAGCAAGCACAATCGCTCTCTTCGGGAAACGCTGCCCGGTCTTAGTAACCATTGGCAGGCCCTCTCCCGTTACCGAGCAGATGCACTGGGAGCGAATCCTTATTAAAGGGAAAACATCGACGAGGCTGTCTCTGGCTTTCTCTCATTTTGTCTCTGATTCTAGAATCCCTATGGCCTCCTAAGACATGGGGTTGAAAGAGCCTTTTTCAAAAACTTGGGGAATCTACAGCTATTTGCCTCTGGGTGTCCATCTGGCAATGCATCTGGAGGGAATGCAATCATTATATCAAAGAGACACCTTGCTTACTCCCATGTTCATTTCAGCACTATGTCCAGTAGCCAAAACATGAAATCAACCTACGTATCCATCAGTGGATGAACAGATCAAGAAAATGTGGACTGTGCACACAGCGGGACATTATTCAGCCATACAAATAGGAAGAAATCCTGACATTTGGACCAAAATGGATGCACTTGGAGGTCATCATATTCAAGCAATCAGCCAGACACAGAAAGACAAAGGCTACGCGTCATCTGAGTTTAGAACAGCGATTATTAGAGGCTGGGAAAGGTGGCATAAATGGGAAGAGAGAAGAAGGGTGCTGGCTAGCAAGTCCCAAAACGCAACCAGATAGGAGTCAGTTCCAGTGTTCACGTTACAAACGGGTAAGTGTGACTTCCGGTAATGCACTCTGCACTGTTTGAAGAGGAGTTGCTGGGCTCCGACTATGCAGAAAGATGAAGAAACGCAGAAGCAGACTTCTTGATTTGATCCTTTTGTGCCGCACACATGGGCTGAAATAGTGCACTGTGCCCCCTAAAGAGCTACACGTGTTAATCTAAAAATCCTTTCAAAAACCAGGATCTATCTTGGTATTAAAAAAGAAAAGACATTTGCATGTGGGGTCCAGCCTAGGGGATGAAGAGAGGGCATCGGAGCTGGCCCTGGGGAAGCCCTGGTAGCAATGGTGGTAGCGTCTGGTTAAGCTGTGCAGCTGGTCTGATGGGATTTGGCGACTTGAGCCCTGTCTCATTTCCAGTCATTTTTTACCTGCGGCATTTGCATAGACATATGATATCTGTTATCCTAATTATATCTATTTTCCCAGGTACAGACAGACCTACCCCAGAGTTGGGGTGCCCATTAGCAGATCAACGGGCCTCTGCAGCTGTGTTTTGATTAACAGAAAAGATTCTTTGGCATCGGAGAACTGAAATCACCTTTTAGGATATGACAAGCGCAGCCAAGCGTCTCGCAAGTGAAAATCAGAGGTTTCTCCACGGAAAAGAGTGAGAACGACCACAAAGAATTAAAAGCAGAATCACCTTTAATGGTTTCAACTGTGAAAGCTCAGTCACGCTGAAGATCTGCCAGCCGTCAGACAGCGCGGCATCCCAGGCCCCCTTTGGGCAAAGATTTGCCCAGTTGCAGGCTTCTTGCTGCAGAGGGCGTGGCCATGGAGCCCCCAGGGGAGCCCAACCCACATCTTCCAGGCGGGGCTCCACCAGGGAGGACACAAAGGTGCAGAGGCCAAGGATTGTTGGGGGAGGGAGCACAAGGCATTATGGGTCTTGGTGCACTCCCACCTGCCTCAAATGACTTGCAAACAATATGCAAAGAATTATGCAAATCGCTACATGGCCTCTTTTAGACCTGTGGCTCAGGGACTCCTTGGAGAAGACGCGCAGGTCTTTTCGTGGTTTTGCATGCCTGGACTCTTTGTGGACTATGGGTCAACACCTTACATGTTAAGTTTGTGAGTCCTTTGTAATCCAGGGCATTTTCATAAGTCCTCCCCTATATGACCCTGACAACTCTGTAAGGGAGCCAGGGCAGGCAGTATGACCCCTACTGTACTTGACCGACCCAAGGTCACACAAGCCAAGCTGTGGTTGAGCTCTCCCTGGAATCCAGGAACCCTAACTCTAAACCTGTTATGTTTCCCTCATTAAAATATCCATGGAGAAGGACACAGGGCTTGGAGGCCAGGAACATCCCAGCAGAGGGGATTGCAATCTCTATCCCACCTTCCAAAACGGTGGCAAGGGTTTCCCACGGAGGAAGGGAAGATCATGGCAGCGGGGGCAACCAGGGCTTTGGGGGGCGGAAAACACTCCCCAGTCCTCCTGGTGGGGAATTACTTATCCATTCTTTCGTTCCTTCAACAAGATTTATTGAAGACCTACTATGCGCTACGTGCTGTTCTACATAACTAACATTCAATTGGAGGTCATTTTTAAGCACGCTAAGAGAAAACAGACTTGCGGAGAGCACTTTAGGCAGAGCAGTCTCTCTGAGCCTAGACCCCTGAGGAGGCAGGAGCCAACCGTGCAAGAGCTGGGGTAGAACTCGCCAAGCAGCGGCCACCAGGGACAGAGGTTTAGGAGGAGAAGGGCTCTGAGTTCGAATTCAAGAACAGAAAGAAGTAGGCATGGCTAAAGCTGGCTGAAAAGTTACGGAGAGCAGGTGAGGTGAGTTTGGGAAGGGCCTTGGGGGTTTTCTTTTTAAATTACCCCGAAACTAGTGGCTTCAAGCCAAATTTCCCTTTTTCTTTTTTTGAATTAAATAGGTTAGAGCACCACAGTGTTCAGTACTGTAGTATGTAGTCATGCTCTGATTTTAACAGGTATCAAAGTTGCTGAGTAAAGCTCTCAGAACTTCTGACACAGCATCTCTGGGGTGGGGCCCGAGGGTTGCATTACTAAGAGTTTCCCAGGCTCCGCTGCTGCTGATGCTGCAAGACCGCTCTTGCACAACCACTGTATTAAGCATGCGTCACTATGTGACCGTCAAGTTTGATGTTGAATTTAATTTTTATTTTTTATTTTAATTTTTATTTGAGAGGCAGAGAGACAACCCATCCAGTGGCTCATTCCCCAAAAGTCGGCGTCAGGTCCTCAATCCAAATCTCCTGTGTAAGTGAAAGGGATCCAAGTACTTGAGCCATCATCTGTCACTTTGCAGGGTGTGCATTAGCAGGAAGTTGGATAAGGACCAGAGCCAGGGCTTGAACTCAGGCACGCTAATAAAGGATGTCGACATCCTAAATGGTGTTTTCACTGCCGTATCAAATGCCTGCCC